TGGCGGATAAACTGGACGAGTACGAAAATGTTCGCACCGAGATGGGACCTCCGCATTGGAATGCGAAACACCTCATACCACCGTCGTTTCAGCAGAAATCTGCGAGATTCCCCCAACCAAAGCGAAGTTAAAGAGACTAAACAAGGAACGAATGTTTCGGGTCAAGACGCTGCAAGGAACGAAATCAGTGAAACGTACCCTAACACCTTGAGGAGAATGGTCAACCGTGCAATCAGAAACGACAAGGGAGAACCGAAGTGCTTCAACTGCAATCAGTTTGGACACATTGCCAGAGACTGCCCAGCACCCAGGACTACGTTGACATGCCGAGGATGCGGTCAAACGGGACACAAGGAAAGGAATTGCACAAGACCCAAAGAAGGACTAAAAGTAGCCAACCTGGAAGTCGAAGGACTGGAGACTGTCCCGCCAGATGTATATTTGAAGGATGTCAAGATCGACAACAAGGAAACCGTGAAGGCAATGATAGACACCGGGAGCAGCAGTTGTCTAATGAGAGAATCGGTCGCAAGGAGGATCAGCGTCGACATCGAACCAGACTCGACTAGTCTGTACGGCATCGGTAACCAGACTGCACCAGCTGCCAGGACCGTTGGGAAGACGACAGTTGACCTGGAGATTGATGGCGTAGTCGGAAAAGAAATCGCTGTATTCATTGTTAACGATGATGCCCAACCTTATGACCTACTAATTGAAGAACATGGACAGATCTGCCCTACGTATCCTTCGCCAGAATTGGTAAAAACTTGCATATTGGCTATTCATCCGAATTTCCGTTTGCTAATCTGCAAGAGGAAATCAAGTCGCGTCGCATCGAACTGAGAGCAACCGAAACTGTTCAGTTGGAGAGCGACTCCATTAACTTTACAAGTGCAATCACAGACGAGGTAAAGGACGGATATGTATTGTTCACAGGAGTAGATGACGCCTGTGTCGATTCCCTATTGGAAGTGGTCGACGGAAAGACGACCGTACCCATCATCTCAGCTGGCAAGGACAAGTTGAGAGTAAGGAAGAACCAATGTGTAGGGCGGGTTGAACTACTGAACCTTGATGATATTGTTGTTAACCTGGACGTCGCAGAGGATTCGTTTCAGACTAAAAATGAAGAGAAGAGGAAAGGACAAGACCAAATGAAACGTAAGCGCCCCATACTGCCTGAGGACATCAACGTCAATCATTCGCTGACTTCGAAAGAGAGACAAGAAATCCTAGATGTAGTAAACGAGTATAGAGACTGTTTCGCTCTTGGCATGGAGGAATTAGGGTGCACCGATGTCACCAAGATGGACATTAAGGAGGTTGATGGAAGCAAGCCAGTCTGTCTGAGACCGTATAAGACGACTGCAAGTGAACGCGAAGCAATCAGGGAGATTGTCAGAGAGTGGAAGGACAATGGAATAGTCACGGAAACTAGATCACCCTACGCTAGTCCCGTCCTACTTGTGAGAAAGAAAACTGGAGATCATCGTCTGGTGGTAGATTATAGGAGACTCAACATTCAAACAGTTAAGGACAAGTTCCCATTACCAAGGATAGACGACCTTCTGGAAGGCCTAAGGAATGCGAAATTCTTCACCACTCTGGATCTGGCGCATGGATATCTGCAGATACCACTGACCGATAAGGCAAAATTAAAGACAGCATTCATCACCCCAGATGATACAGGTCAATTCGAAAGGATGATTTTTGGACTCGCCAACGCACCAGCAGAATTCCAAAGACTGATGCACACTGTCCTAGGTCCGCTGCTGAACAAGAAGGCATTCTGCTATCTCGACGACGTGATTATCCCGGCAAAGGATTGGCGGGAGATGATCGAAAGGTTGAGGGAAGTCCTCGAAAGAATAAGATCAGCGAAGTTGACACTGAAACCCTCTAAATGTGAGTTCGGAAGGAGGGAAGTTGAGTTCTTAGGGTATGTCATCAGTACAGGCGGACTTAAGCCAGGCCCAAGAAAGATCAAGGCGATAGAAGAATTTCCAGAACCCAAGAATGTCCACGACATACGACGCTTTCTGGGACTGACGAACTTCTTCAGACGATTTGTAAAGGACTTCGCGAGGAAAGCAGAACCGCTAAGCAGACTTACGAAGAAAGGTTCACAATTTGAATGGAAGGAAGAACAGCGAAGGTCATTTGGAGGACTACGAAAGGATCTGGTCGAATATCCGGTACTAGCTCATTACAACCCTGAACTCAAGACAGAAGTACATTGCGATGCGAGTGCTGAGGGATTAGCAGGAATGGTGCTACAGATGGACGAAGACTGCAAATGGCGCTTGGTCTACTGTGTGAGCAAGAAGACAACAGAGGCCGAGAAGATGTACCACTCAAGCAAATTGGAGCTGATGGCGATAGTGTGGACCTTGGATCGACTACGTCAGTTCCTCGTAGGAATCAAGTTTACAGTGGTTACAGATTGCCAAGCACTGGTCTACATGAACGCGAAGAAGACTACAAATCCTCAGATAGCGCGATGGTACAATCTGATTCAGGAATACGATTTCGAAATTCGACATAAACCAGGGGAGAAGATGGCCCACGTAGACGGAATGAGTAGAGCTCCAGTCGACGACCCTAGAGACACGATGGAGGAAATCGTGGAGAAAAACCTTGAAGTGTGCCTCACAATCACACTGGAAGAACAAATCTTGATGATTCAGCATTCCGACCCTGAATTGAGAGACCTGATCCAGATCTTTCGAAAGGACCCGTGTGATAGGACAGTAGGAGAACAAAATAGAATTAATGACTACAGCTACAGAAGAAAGTCCGGACGAGGAGCCAGAAGTAGAAGATACCCCCCGACGCAACCCACGACGTTCCTGCAACGCAAGGTTCAATCGAGGACGATTGAAATCCAGGAATGGCCGAATGTAGGCGCCATCCCGACCAGAGAGCCACAGATAAACAGATTATAAACGCACAGAATATAGAATCCGAGCTCCCCAGTAGAAGGAATACCCGGAAGACGACGGTACTCTCTGTTATATTTGTTGTTCACTATCATGATTTTGTTCTAATAAACACTACTAAATTATTTCATTGGATCCTCTCTTTCTTTTTCCCAGTAAGAAACGCCTACGGAAGCCAACATATGTTTAAGCAAAATTTTGCTAATTCCTTCCCTTTTCTAGAAATGTAAATCTCCATTTCCTTTACTTCCTTAGGCCCAATTTCGTTTAAATGAATTGTAGTCCACAGATCACTTTCAATTAATGAAAGTTTTATTTGGTGATTACAACAGGAGTAATTCACTCCCTTCAATTTGCTAATGGACGTGGTTTTCATCTTTCAAAGTAAAAATTACGTGCATTGTAGGGCCCTTGTTATGCCTATTCCGTTTTGCAAACAAATAAAAAATATATAGCACCTTTTATCTATAAAAAAAATGTCTTATAATCCTTGATATGATTGTGGATCTTTTTAAAGTTAATTGAAAAAATAACACACAAAGAACTTAATAGAGTCATTTTGATTAATAGAGAAAAATAATAAAGGAAACGCACACATAGAATAATTACACCTCGAAAAACATTTAAAAATGAATACAAAGGCGTCTTGTTCCGTTGAGCCGTTTGGGGGAGTTGTTTGGATTATCTTCCGGCCCTACCTGGAAAATCTCGGTGCCCGTTTTTGCAATAATATATAAAAATAAATTTGCAATCGAATGTTCAATGAGCTAATGTGTGGGGTGCTCTAATACATTGAAAATTAGTATAGTATTGTCGCAAAAGTAACTGTAATTTTGAAAACTAAATATCCTTCCTTATATCCTTACTAGACGGGTGACCCGGGCTTCGCCCCGGGATTGACCCGTGTGCATATCTACCCGAGTGATATATATTTAGATATGATATTTTAAAAATAATTGTTTGTTATTAGCATTATCTATTTGTTTGCATCAGCATAATTTAATCTAGTCTTTGATAGAGGGCGCTGTTCGTGAGTTAGGTAGAATAATTTGAATATGTAGTTTTAATAATTGATTCATATATTTTAAAATAGCCTATCGTCTTCCCCGTATTTTTTTACCTATATATGGAAATTTAGGTTTGAATTAGTGAACTACTGCGAATTTGTATATTGGACATACAAACAAACAAACATACAAACATTGATTTTTTTATATATATTTAGATAACAGTACCTATAATGAGGTATTGTTAACAATAGATTATTTACGGAGCGACCCGCTCCAACACAATAGTTACAAAAACAACAAAGCGAGTGGGGGGGCATGATCAAAGGTGGCGTGATCGTAGCCAACAATTAGGAGAGCGCCATTCCAAAAAAAAAAAAGCAAACGGTGACAGAGATGAAAAAGAATTGATGACGCTCGTAACAGTATATAGAATGATATATATATATATATCTTCTATATATATACAAATCAATGTTTGTATGTTTGTTTGTTTGTATGTCCGGTATACAAATTCGCAGTAGTTCACTAATTCAAACCAAAATTTCCATACATAGGTAAAAAAATACGGGGAAGACGATAGGCTATTTTAAAAAACATATATATAAATCAATTATTAAAACTATATATTCAAATTATTCTATTTAGCTCACGAACAGCGCCCTCTATCAAAGATTAGATTAAATTATGCCGATGCAAACAAATAGATAATGCTAATAACAAACAATTATTTAAAAAAATCTTATTTAAATATATATCACTCGGGTAGATATGCACACGGGTCAATCCCGGGGCGAAGCCCGGATCACCCGTCTAGTCTAGTATCTCTCTATATATAAAAGTCAATTTCTGTCTGTCTGTTTCGCGATAAACTCAAAAACTACTGAACCAATTGGTACCAAATTTTGCATGTCGCTTTTTATAAACCTGAGGAAAATTTTCGGCTGCATTTTGATTAGTTTTTTTTGACTATTTCTTTTTTTTAATTTGAAGAACTTTTTTAAGCGGACTAATCCGGAATGGAATGAATACCTAAATATGGCCATTTTTTAAAGCATCGGTGGTTCAGTGGTAGAATTATCGTCTGCCACTCGGACGGCCCGGGTTCGATTCCCGGCCGATGCATTTTTTTTTTTACAATTTTTAAAACTATATTAATTAAATCAAATACCTAAACACTAATATAATACAATTTTTGCCATCACACACACTTTTTTCCTGTAGTTTATGTGTTACTTCTGTATTGCTATTCTATGGTACTTCTAATATTTATTATTGATATACTTTTAGTATGAAGGAAATTGCACCCAAGGGATTTCTCGGGCGAAGCCGGGTCATTCGCCTAGTATATCTATAAAAATGAAATCCAAAATCGATGTTTGTTATCGCGTTGCTCAAAATCTACGGAATAAATCATTATGAAATTTCGCATGTAGGTAGCTGAAGATTTCGTTTAACATATAGGGTATTCAAAAAAACTAAAAAGGTTAATGTGCTTTTTTAAATGTAAAGCCAAAAAGCGTTAGTTCCAGCCTTTTACCGCTTGGCGGTAGCACTGGTCGCGACGATAAAGGAATTTGATTGGTTAATAATTTTCGCGTAGTTTGTTTACACGACGAATGTTTTCAAAAGGTAAGATTATCCAATCGCCGTGAAACTTTAGGGAGTTATTTACTATACTACTGGGAACGTTTTTGGTTTGAATTTGATTTGAAATAAATATTCTTTTCAATTTTATTTGCAAATTTTCTACTTTCACTCGCAAGCAGCGCCTCTCGCGGCATCTGGTAAATTACATTTATAAATTGTAAAAATGCTAAAATATCTACCAAGTATAATAAATTCAATATTTAATTTGAGGATTTGGTAATATAATATTCCAATGACGTTGTATAAAAATTTGGCATTTCAATATTAATATATATTTAAAGAAAAAATATTTTTTTAAATTTAATAAATGTTTTCAAAAAAATTATGTTTCAAAAATATATTTTAACGCATATAACAATATTTATATACGTTTATAAATATATATATATAGGTGGATTGGATGTTTTCTAGAATCGTTTTAACAAATGTTCGTTAGGCAAACTTTTACTCGGGTAAAAACCGGGCGAAGCCGGGAACATATGTATATATGTTTGTCGGCTATGCATGCCCTCAATATATAACTAATCTAGCTGAAATTTGAACAGGACAGAGAGAGTTAAAACTGGAAGAGTTATTTTCAGTCAGTTTTAGTCAGAAATTATTATGACAATATTACTGTATCATGATGGATTGACATAAACAAAATTCTTAAGGGGAATATTCACTAAAGCAGACCACGGGCGAAGCCAGATAATAATTTTTAGTAGGCAGGAACAAAATTCTACCAGCGAAACATTCACTCGAGCAGAAGACACACGAAGCCAGGTCATCTCTATATATAAAATATCGTTTTCGGCCTTTTGGCTAAGATCATGTAGTATATATCTGGATATTTTTATTTATATATATCTTTTTAAAAATCTATTCATTAGAGAGAGTGAATATGCTTGCTCGAAAAATATATTTTATATATTATATAAATATACTAGCGGATGTACCCGGCTTCGCCCGGGTTTTACCCGAGTAAAGGTTTGTCTAACAAACATTTGTTAAAATAATTCTCTATAAACTTATAAAAAAATAATAGATATATTTTGATAATTTGAAACTCGTAAATTTGAATCTCTCGATAAAGTGAACATTTTTTCCCGGTCCCTTGAAAAATACTCGATAAGTTGAATAAGATCAATATTAATTGGTTCCCTCGGAAATTGGAAGTTAAAGGAATAGTATCTTGCTTTGGAATTGTATCATTATTCTTGTCTCAAATAAATTGCCTTGTCATCCTGAATTTTGTATTTCCTAATTTTCTACATTACAAAATCATCATTTTATCTAGTGAACATTTTTTTCCCGGTCCCTTGAAAAATACTCGATAAGTTGAATAAAATCAATATTAATTGGTTCCCTCGGTATTTGGAAGTTATCTGAAAGTTATCTGAGTTATTTGAAAATATTACTTTCGATAAATAATCATCATTTAGTTAAATCTACAAATCTGCAAATAACTCTAAGGATATTCAAGATATTCAAGAAATTATTTTTCCCAAACCTTCCCGGGGATATACCTAATAATATCCCAAAATTTCACGGCGATTGGATGTATGGTTTTTGAATCTATAGAGTGCAGACAGACAGACATTCAATTATATTATTTAAAAATATAATGTAACGAATATTATTATCATTATTAGCATAATATTCTGTTTGTTCCGGAATATTATTATCAATAATATTCGTTAGGCAAACTTTCACTCGGATAAAACCCGGGCGAAGCCGGGTACACATCCGCTAGTTAATATATATATATTATATAAAAATAATTTTAATTTTTTATTTTGATATAATAAAAATATTTTAATATTTTTGGTCGCGCAGTGGTACAGCCTACTCCACGCTGACGAGCGCGAAACGCGTTTATGGATGGCTTTTCTTGATTTATCAAGAAATTGGGTTGGCCAAATATCAGGGAACAGGCTAAATAAAAGAAACCTATTTCCAATAAATGTAATTGTTTCAAATTTTATCAATGCGATTCATAAATATAACCAGGTGAAAATAGGTTTTGAAAACTTCAAATAAAATGACAGAAACTAAAACATATATCATTAGATTATGCAATAAAAAGAAAAATTTCGTTACTAAAATTACCGATTAATGTATAATTTTGTAAATTGGTTCTCACTGTAATCATTGAGCTGAGAAAAAATGCAAGCTGAATGATTTATGTCATGCAACGAAGACAACCATTCAGTGGACGAATAAAAAGGACTATATTTACTTTCAAACCGCTTAAGGTGTATAAGCGAATTGTTGTCCATTTTGTTCTCCTGCTAATTGACTCTCTTCAACTTTCCATCGAAATCTATATGGCGCATGTGCAGTTCATTTCCTTTTGTCCCCTTTGGTATGCACAAGCAATTCTAGGGTCCAAAAGATTCCCCGGATGACGGCAGCTACACATGCTGCTGCTAATTGTTTTGCGGGACACATGCGTGACTCGCCAGCCGAGATTTGACCGAGCTCATCATTCAGTGCTGAAAAATATTTCTATTAAGAAAAAAGGCATCTCCTGATCGTGTGAATAAAAGTTGCTGATGGCTTACGCCATCTATCGGACTCCGATAGATAGTATAGACAGTATCCAGTATTACTCTTTGTCTTTGGTGCAAAACGCGCAGATTTTTATCAAAGTAACAATAGCTTTGGAAATTTCGGACAAATAAGCCAATCTGTATACCATTGTTTCGGGGGGACTCTAGGGTTCTAATATTTACTAAAGGGGATTCGATTCCACAATATTATAGAAGAGAAGTTATGATATATGCCAAAAAAATCCTAATACCTATATATCAATTTGATGCCTTTTCCCCAGCTGATTGGCTCTCTTCTATTTCCAGGTGACATATAGGTGACGCATTTAAAAAGTTTATTCCTTTTATCACCATTCATGCAAACAAAGAACTTATAGAATCACTCGCTAACGGCAGGGTACACTTTCTGCTGCTGATTGGTTGGAGGTCACATGCGCGAGCTAAGTGTTATAAAGAGAAATGGCGTTTTTAAGGTGTCAATAATAACGTACGATTTGGCGTTATTTGTTTAAAATATAAATGTATTTAGCATTTTGACTCAAATATACGCGAATTTTTCATGTCGCTTGTGCGACGGCCTAAGCTCTGGTATCACTTTTACGCAACATGCACATTGCAAAAAATCTATTCTTGCAATAATATATAATGATGCTATTTTAAAAAGTCATTGACATATGCCTTTATAATAAACTAATTTATTTTGTTTGATAAAACGGTTCAATCATAATTTTTTTTGATTATTCAAAAATTATAAACTATCTACTGGCAAATGTTTATTTTTTGAAAAATCTCTATTGCAATTACAACATATTTGGGAGGACCTGGCTCATCAGTAGTGAACCCTCTCAGTTATTTCTCCAGTTAAATAATCTATAAGTAATTTTGTGAATACACAGATGCCGCGCTTATATTATGTTATTAATATATTGATTAACACGCCTTTCTCTATAAGGTAAACATTATTTAGAAACTCTGCTGCCAATATCTAAAAATGATGGAATTCGGCTCTCAGGGGGTTAGAAATCTAATTTACTAATTCACTCAATCCTGAGATGGAAGTCATTCTGCTACTTAGAGCCCATTACACCGGTGCAAATCAGCATATTTATGGGTTAAACCATTTCCCTTCCCTGTTGGAACTTCAAATCCTGTCCCCCCACTTCTGCTTTCTTTGCTCTTCTCTCCTCCAACTACAGAAATATTGAGTTCACGGCAATGATTCACCTGTAATACATATTAACATTATAATTTCAAATAGGTTTTTATATACATACAGTATATTCATTTCACTCTCATACTTATGTAATCTCATATATTATCTACCTCACATTATCTTTAAAAGTGAAGGTCAAACTGAATTTTATTCCGAAATGGAAATAAAATAGAAGTTTAATACAGTACATTTTATATTATTTATTTGAAAGTCTTTGCGTGTGTGTCTTTTGCAATACCTACTCTGAAGTAGGTGCAATTTCTAGGCCAACTGTCGTGATTTGTACTCCTACTTTTCAACCATGAAGTTATATGGCTTATATCTCAAGTTAATCTGAGTGGGAATCATTATCATATAATATAAATAAATACGAATATTAAAGATTACGCAAGATTTTTCAGGCGCAATGTGTTACTTTATTTAGGACTGGTACTATATACGAATATATGTGAAACATATATATATTCATGGTTATAGATAATTTGCAACATCAGTGTTATTAGAATTTAGTTAGTTTCCTCTCGAAGGCATCTTCATCGAGAGCTTCCCAGTAAAAAGGTAGCCAGTGGTCAGTGATACCCGTTGAGGTCATATCGGCGGTTAATCCTTCAGTAAAGATATACGCTCATTTATTTTTCACATTAATTTCTATTTTGTTAATTCAGTGTAATCATATATTTATTATAAGCGTATAAATAATACCAAAAAAAGATTTTGGCTTTTCTAAA